CCCCCCCCGTGGCTCTGACATCAACCGGTATTTTCATTCTCTTCAAGACAAAGCAGAGACAATCAAACCTGGTCAACCAAATGGGACCCGACCCAAACGAGGCCAGAAGGGAGGATCAACCCTCTGGACCTGCGTCCGGGTCAAACTCTGTCTCTCTCCTGTATGGACACAGCACTTTCTCCGGACGAAGAAACTAAACCTACCCTGGCTCCTCTAGCGGAGTTGTTATGAAGTTGAGTTGATTAGTTATTCTGCTGCTTGCTGGATGGAGGATGATGTCTTGACCTCATCCTTCATTATTAGTTTTTCCCTTTACCTTTTCATTAATTACCCCATCTATTTTATTTTTATTTTTATTTTTATGGGTATTTAATTTTATTTCCCTTTTCGCTTTCTAGATCCATACTGCCTCATCCAATTTATTTCAATCTCCTATATGGGTTCAATCCAATCCATTCGAGGTTTTAACCACTTTTTTTCTTAACAAGATTATCTGCTTTGACTTTCCTTTATCATCATCTCATTGCCGCGTCTTCAAGTTTCTTGGATATAGTTCGGTTCTACAACTGGGTCGTGCGTGCAGGATCTATGACCTGAACCTCTCCTTCCATATCATTCTGGTCACTGCCACTTCAGTTCTACTGTTTTAATCCACTTTGTTGCTACTACTACTACTACCACTGCCTTGCCATCATACATACATACTACCACTAATATACTATGTGATATTTGTCCGTCCTTGATTCTGGCTTTCCAATACTTCAATACTTCCACCCCCTTCAGTGCCTTCATTCCATCGAGGCGGCCAACATTCAACAGATCCGCTGCTGTTGCTATCCTACCAATTCCCCCGTGCGGCCTTTGATATTCGCGGTTCTCGAGCCAACCAGACCCCCCGGCGACTTTTGTTCAACTTCAAGGATACAGAGCAACATCAGCAGCTGTGGTCGCAAGCCATTGCATACCTCTCCCACGCACCGGACTTGAAGGGCTGCCGGGATTGAACAATTAACACCACTCGTACCTAACCCAACCTAGTCCAATACAATCCCGATGAGAGTTTGATGAGCACGGTGTTACAGATATTCGGTGTTCTGGCTCTTCACCTCCCGACCTTCTTCGCAAGTGGTAATTGAACCTCGGACGTCTCTCCTGCCCATATGTCTCTCCCGGTACTTCCACCGCAACCTCAACTCCCCACACTTCACCCAGTCACACCCACCATCGGCCCCTACACACGGCCAGACACTGCGAGAAAGCGACCCTTCGAGTCGATCCCCGACAATTCGGACAATTGGACTGCTCCCTTCCGGGACGGTCTCCCAACGCCTCCGAGCGAAATGAACGGAGTCGCGACGTACAACGTCATCCCCTCGTCCGGCTATGGAGCGAAGCTCGATGGAATCACATTGCCGCCGTACGCCAAGGTCTCCGGCTATCCGCGCATGAACTTCGATGGAGCGACTGCCATGGTCCCCACGTCAAAGCCACACTACCAGCCTCCGGTCAAGGAGCATAACACCCGCGAGCAGGACAGTCATAAGAAAAGCAGTACCAATTCTACGGCCTCGTATCTGCAGATCCCATCGACGATCAACAACAGCAAGGGGAGTCTCGCCGAGTTTGCTGCGCAGGTGAGTAGTCTCACAGAAACTTTCTTTTTCGGCCGAGGGGGCTAATTTACGGATGTAGATGACATGTCTGTTCTGGTTCGAAAGTGCGGCCAAGTTGAAGGCCGTGGAGGAGCGTTCGCCTTCGGCCGGCTCTCTCGCCCCCGAGACCATGCCGACGGTTGGCTTCCAGAAATGGGTGACCAACATCCTCTCCACGACCCAGGTCAGCCAGAATGTGGTGTTGCTCGCTCTCATGTTTGTTTACCGCCTGAAGAAGTTCAATCCTGGAGTACGTGGGAAGAAGGGCAGCGAGTACAGGTTGACGACGATTGCACTCATGCTGGGGAACAAATGTAGGTTTTCTCGCAGGCGGATTCTGTGGATGGAATTGAGATGAGATGAGGCTGACATACTTCCTTCACAGTTCTCGATGACAACACCTACACCAACAAGACGTGGGCCGAGGTATCGGGCATCACGGTGCAGGAGATCCACATTATGGAAGTCGAGTTTCTGAGCAACATTCGCTACAACCTGTACGTGTCGAAGGAGGAATGGCGCCAATGGCATGTCAAGCTGGGCCTTTTCGCGGATTACTTCAACAACGCTCTGCGAGTGGCGGAGAAGAACGAAAGAGCGGTTGTGCCTCCTGCACTGCGGGTTTCTCCCGATCTGGCTCCCATCTCCCGGGCTGCTCTGTGCTCGCCTTCGAAGTTGCCGTCGCCGCCTGCGACTGATGCTCTGCGCTCGCACCACTGGCCGCTGCCGATGAACGGCATGCCTTATGCTGGAGGGGCGTGTCAATTGCCACCAAGTGACATGCCCCTGCCGAGCAGCAGCAGCAACAGCAGCAACCCGAACCCACGCAAGCGGAGCCGCGACGAGGCGGTGGAGGAATTGCCGTCCAAGAGAAATACTGCCGCGATGGTGCCGAATCTGCCGAATCTGCCGGTATCCTCCGCCTTGACCAACATTCCCGCCTTACCGCCCGTCATGCCATCCACATCCACATCCACATCCACGTCTACCTCTACAGCGCCTTCGACATCGGTACCTTCTCTCGTCCCTGCTATGCCTGACTCCGTCTCTCGTCTTCCACGACCGAACTTCCCTTCTTCTCTCAGCCTGGCTCCGACCATGCCTCCTGCCGTCTCCACAGTTCCCCAGCTGCCTTCCACTGGCCGGGTGATGCCGCCTGTATACGCTCCTCCCAACACTTGGATTCCATCGCAGATGCCGACCACCACGACGACTGTGGCCCCCTCTGTCACTGTCCCTACCGTTCCTCCACTTAGCAGCGGTCTTTACACCTCCCTGCCGGACCCCAGCAGACACCACAACAGTCCGTTTGCCATCTCCTCGGCTGGCATCTCCCCCGCCGTCTCCGCCTACTCTGTTACCCCTCAAACCCACCTGTCGCCATCCTTCTTCCTCGCCAACCGCAATTCGCCGTACCGGCCCGTGCGCAGTGTCAACACCCTTCTGATCCCGCCTCCTTCCACCTCCCTGCAGCAGCAGCGAAGCGTCCCCTTTGACCACATGCACTACCAGCCGCTGGGAAAGACGGTAGCCGAACGCAAGACGGGCGTGCTGCCATACCTGCACCACGAAGCCTGGCCCTCTGGACCCATTGGACAGCCCATGTTCCACTCCAGCTTCAACTACCCATGAAGCGAGCAAAAGTCTTTTCACCGTTTGAATGCAGCTTTACGACCTTGATACTGATACGATGCATATGAGAAGACCTGACCTTCACTTCATTTCTTTTATTGACCATCCTCCGTTCCGCCCCCACCGTTACCGTCCCCTTTGTACCACTGTACAGATTTTTCTTTCTCCCTTTCTTCGACCTTTCCGTTACGACATAGCATGACACTGCGGCGTTTATTTTTTTTTCTTCTGTCTCATTGATAGAAATCGGTTTTATCTGGAAAGACCAATGTTTGCATCTACACTGGACCATGGAGGGGAAACTTGGGAGGAGGCTTTCGTTTTCTGCATGGATATGGCGCTTTTGGGAATGCTTATGGTTATGTACACACGAGAGGGAAAGCATTAGCATGATATGGGCGTTTTGTTTTTGGGGGGATGTGATTAGGTAGCCTCAGGGAAAGAGCCCGGAGGAAGCTGGGTCCGATTAGTGTGGCCCTTGTGATAGGAATACAATCAAAGACACTCAAGTACAGTGGCCCTTGTGATAAAAATATAACGAAAGACACCTAAGTACAGATCATGCTGTGGATTAGGGCTCCTGCCTAATAGTCGTGGACAGTCTTCAAGGATTATAAGTCATGTGTAGATGAACACCGCAGCTGACAGCCATACCAACTTTTATAACTTGTTTCAGACTGATAATCAAACTACAGCCATTCTCATCTTCCAATACCCAACTACAGTATATCTAACAACCTAACAATTAGCTGTGGTGTCATGAATTTCCCAGTGATGATCATTCCTCAGCGCTAATACTTAACATCCTTCTCTACCTGTCTAGCTGCGACACTTCAAGCAGAGGCTAGCAGTACCTTAACCACGCTCTGAGTCCGCAAGTTGCCAGCAATGCTCGCAAGACACCCCGCCCCCTCAACCGTCTCCGATGTTCCGGAGCAGCACAGTCACTTAGTTTGTACAGTACCTAAGCCATCTCCACCCAACTCGCAAGCCCCGGCCCTCTCAAGCGTCCTCCTCCTCATCATCATCATAACCATCACCCCCCAGCCTCCAAACCACCACCCCAGCCGCAGGGATCTCCGACCCATTCCGACTCCCAATGACCACCCGCCTCGCCCCCAGAATCTCAGGCACCCGCACCGCCTCCAACCCATAATTAAACCCCCAGAGCACGGCCCCGCGCCGCGCAAACCGCAGGTCCGGTCCTAGATCCGTCATACCCCCGCCCCCACGAACCGACCGCCCCAGAACATCCGTCAGATTCGCCTCGCGCGCCACATCCCCCAGATACGCGACCAGCAGCTCGACCGTCGGATTCACCCCGAGATAGTGCACGCCGTTCGCGGCGCAGCCCGCCGGCCGGCCCTGCCGGTGGCGCGGGCCCGTATACCGCAGCCGCGTCGCCTCGTCCCGCCCGCAGACCACCCACTCCGCCCACCCGGAGATGTTGAAGCGCCGGCCGGCGTACGCGACGCTCTGGCCGGCGTAGTCCGGCGGGGTCTCGATGCGCGTGACCTTCATGGGCAGGCGCGCGTGGATCGGGCCCCGCGCGGGGGCTAGGCCCGGCTGGTAGCTGAAAGTCTCGGTGAGGGCGCCCGTGTGCGGGCCGAGGATTATGGGGCCGCTGTGGTTGGCGAGCGTCTCGTTTAGGGTCGGCGGGATGATGGGGAGGCTGGGGATCACGATGAGTTTGTAGTTCTGGAGCGGCGGGGGGTGGTCGGCTGGGAGGATGTCGATGGAGAGGCCTAGGCGCCGGAGGGCGGAGTAGAATTTGTAGACGAGCTCTAGGTAGGTGACTGTTGGGTCGGTGTAGCTCGTTGTTGTCGGGTCCCAGGTGCCGCTGTAGGGCGAGATGGTCCAGGCTTGGTGCGCCGTGTAGGAGAAGATGAGGGCTACGTCGGCTTGGTGGTGCTGCTGTTTTTGGCTGTGGGTGTGGTTGTTGGTTTTGAGGGCTTTGATCAGGATGGGGAGATCTTCGTGGGCGAAGGTCTGCATCTCGTCGAAGCCCTCGTCGGCGGTGTTGTCCGACGTGAAGAGGCCCGAGAGCGTCTGCTCGGCGCCGAAGGGTACCTGCCGCCACCGGAAATACGAGACCATGTCGCCCGAGTCGGCGAAGGTCTCGTGCGTCCAGAGCCGCACCATCCCCGGCAAGGGGGAGACCCGGTAGGGACTCCAGTTCAGGACGCCGGGCTCCATCTCCATGACGCCGAAGGGGCCGGCGGTGGTGTTGTAGGCCGCCCCCGCCACGCCGCGGTAGAGGGCGTGGTGCAGCGCCTGCCAGTCGGGGAGTCCCGTGTACAGATAGTTGGCCTGCTCGGCGGCGGAGAGCCACGAGACGGTGCTCGGCCCGGACAGCGGGTATTCGTCGAAGGTGGCCAGGTCGAGGCCCACCTCGCGCGCGAACTTGAAGTGGTCGAACGCGAGGAAGCCCATCATCATGTTGGTCGTGATGAACTGGGTGGGCGCGTGCTGGCGCAGGATCGTCGCTTGCTCCCGCGCGAACTCGATCATCATGTCCGAGCTGAAGCGGTACCAGTCCAGGAGGTGGCTCGGCGGCGGCGTGTAGACCTCCATGTACGGGGGGTGGATCGCGTCGAAGTCGGTGTACTGGTTCGACCAGAACACCCGGCCCTGGGCGGCATTGAGCTGGTCAATCGTGCCGTATTTGTCCTGCAGCCATATCCGGAACCGCTGGATGGCGTTCTGGTCGTAGCTCTGCACGGTGTCGTGGCATCCGAACTCGTTGTCCAACTGCCAGCCCGCCACGGCGGAGTGGTTGCCGTACCGTTCGGCCAGTTGGCGCGTGATCTGCTGGCTCATTCGACGGTAGTCCGGCGAGGAGGAGCTGTAGTACCGGCGCGAGCCGAACTGCTTGGTCGTGTTGGTGTAGTCGACGAAGCTGATGTCATACTTCTGGTAGAGCCAGTCCGGTGGTGCGGCCGTGGGCGTCCCGATGATCGCTTGGAGCTGATATCGTTGCAGCAGATCCAGCGTCTGGTCCAGGAGAGTGAAGTTGTACTGCCCCTCCGCCGGTTCGAGAATGGCCCAGTCGAACTCGTTGATCCGCACATATGAGATGTTGGCAGCGGACATTTGGGCAATGTCGTCTTCCCACATGTACTCGGGCCATTGCGAAGGATAGTAGTCGACGGCCAAGTGAGGCCCCTCGGTCCACCGAGTGAGCGAGGGAGCAGACGATGGCTCTTGCTCTGATGACTCTGACTGGGAGGTCTGACGTTTGGGGGTCACTGCTGTGGCATGGGCAAGGTCTGCCACTGTCAGAGCCACAACAGCCACCGCTTGAAGAAGCATCTTGACAGAGGGGAGGTGAGCAATGCAGGTAGAGGATGAGTTTCTGGCAGGTTGGCCCTTTATAAATCCAGTGGACCAGCCTGCCAGAAGCATGCACCACGAATTATCCGACTGAATTCAGCCGAAGCTGAAGTGGATTGATGGCATGTTGCAAGTGTAAGTGTCGAGATCCTGAATTGGTGGAGATGTGGGGAAGACAGAACTACCCCGCATACTGTGGACTCGGGACTCGGTGCACTTCCGAGTCGTCGGGACAACTTGGAAGATCGAGAAAATGCCTCGATGCGAGGACTCCTTGACTTGGGATCATGCGACTGACTCCCTCATGGCGTCAAATTTCCCGTCTCTGTGCCGTCCAAATATCAACGTCCGTGGGATTGAGCGGGGCAAGTCCTGAGGCTTCCTTACCCGTTAAGCTTCTTGTACTTGTCTTGATTTCTTCCTCGGTCTTCAAGACTGCCGGGCGAGGACCGGCTGCAAACAGAAAATATGGGTCTTGAGAAAGATTGTTTGTATTACTCTACAGGGTTTACTGAAGAAAAGCAACTAGACGGTGACGCAAACTCTCGGCTCTCCCATCGATTTAGGGCATGGTTGCTAGCGTGTCTCGAAACAGAACGGCTACAAAGGGCTGGTTGAGATGGCCCATCAGGGTAGGAGTAAGTAGATTCTACCCTCTCTTAGCTGCCAGCGGAAGACACAACCATGGGAAAGGAGCCAATGTGAGTATATCACAATAGACAAATACGAATGCATTGTTGTTGTCGTTCTGTACTGCCGGGTTTCTTGCGTCCGGCAGTCTGAAAAACCCTAGGTTGAAATCTGGGTGATGGTATCATTGAAATCAAATTGACCACAGGGAACTCGAAGTTGTTCATTGTGTTTGTACTGTGTCTCCTCGTTATCATTGCTTTCTTTGACCGCTGATTAGAAGGGCATGGTTTTCCATCATACCTACTGGCAGCTTACGGGAGTAGCGCAAAGAAGTAGTATGAATAAACGATTTGCTATCTGGAGCTTAGATCCACGAGAGAAGGTGACCACATGGCAGTCAATTCAGGTGACAAAAACAAGAAAATCAAATGAAGTTTTGGTCTCGAGATCTTGCTGAACGGTGATGATTTCTTTGCCTCAAGATAAACTTGACTTGGCCGTGAGGAGCGACCGCAAAGCGTCTTTGTCTATGTATTTTCGTGAATTCCTCTCAGCAGCTTGAAAGTGCCTCTCAGTGATAGGGAAGTCAGGGTGATTCTCCAAGTATATATCGATGGTGTTCAAATCCGACCTTTCCACGATCAACTCGAATGCTGCCTCCGTGGTGGGTAGTGGTATCCGATGCTGCATACATGAGCGGATAAAGTCGTCAAAATGCCTAGATGATAACCTCTCCAGCATTTTATCCGAGACATCGAAATTGGCATAATGGAAAAGGGCATTTGCTGACCGAGCCAAAGAATATGAGTCAATCTCAAGATCCTGCCACAGTGCTTCCCAGACTGCACGAAGATTGAGGCCACGATGTTGTTTTAAAAACAGCTCTAGAGCCTTGAGTTCGCCTTTTTGAACAGCACATATCAAGATATCCTCTGTAATTGGCACTGCCTCTGGTCCCAGGCGGGTCAGAAGTAAGCTTATAATGTCGCTTGGGCGAAATGCATCCAACGAAGCTTTGATCATTTCTTCAGTGATTAAGACTTGGTTCTTCTGTCTGTCGAGTAGAAGGCGCATTGTATCGACGTCCTTCATTGCGCTGGCGACTATTCTCGGTGTCACTGGTAACTCCGGATTCCTGTTAAGAATGATCTTCAGTGTATCATTGTTACTGACGGTCATTTCTACCAGCCACTCGGTCACTTCCACAAGCTGCCGATCGAGAAGCACCTCTAGTGCCAATCCATCGTGTCTTTGGTCTTCTGTTATCTTCTGAATCATTGTTTCAATTGGAAGACAATCATGCCGTCGATCCAATAGCAACCCCAGGGCGTCAGGGATACAACATGCCGCTTCGAACAATCGATCAGTTACAGGAATTTCGGGCCATCTCTCCAATATGAATGTGAGCACATGATCCGAGTTGATGGCGCTCTCATCAGCAAGTGAAACCAACAAATCTTCTGAGACGGGAAGTCTGTGTCCACAAAGATCAAATAGGTAGTTCAGCAAGGCTTCTGTATGAAAAAGGTTATGGGCCACACAGCCAAAAATCCTGCTTGTGATAGGAGGACTAGAGCCACTAGCATTGCTCACCAAGAGCTCCAGCATTTCCCGACCATTGAATTTGGCAGCGTTGCATAGTACCTGTTCGGTGACCACAAATCCCGGCGGCTGTCTGCGCAGAAGCGTCTTTATCATTGCCAAACCTTCAACTTCATTCCTTGTAATTGCCTGGATGATCTCATCATCAATGGCAGCGTCTTGTCCATACTCGTCAAGCAACAAATCCATGATTTCATCGCCTGCTGGAAAGTTCTGTGCAGCGGCTAGAAGAACCTCTTTGTTGATGTCTGTTCCAGGCTCTCGCCGGTTTAGAAGTAACTTCACTGCTTGCAAATCGCGTGCAAACTTGGCGGCTGTGATCAAGACTTTCTGGGTGACACATATATCCTCGCCACGCTTCTGAAAAAGCATCTCTAACACTTCTTCGTTACAAATTGTAAGGGCTCCGAGACTCTCCTCGTCCAAAGCGAAATTATTCACCTGCCGACTCAGCACAGTAATCGCGGCATCAGTATTGTTTGCGAAAAGCAGCGCCTGCATCAATGATGGGGTAAGCCTTATATCCTCAACACATCTATTGAGAAGTAGGTTCATGATTTCTGCACCACAGTTGACATTGTTCAGCACCGCTATTATCACCTTTTCAGTTATCTTGACGCCCATTTTCTCTTTTTGATCCAAGAGTCGGTCCATTAGTATATAGCCCAAGCGGTGCCGATTCCTAGCTGCAGCTTCAACCAGGCTCTCATCGATGATCCTATGCGATGCTCTTGATTGGTCGTGCAAAGCGCCCTTGTCCCAAAGTAGGTTCAAAATGACCGACAACTTCTCTCTATCAGCCTCGGCGGGGTCTATAAAAAAAACGTTTTATAAGTCACGTTTCGGGGTATCTCGTCCATGTTGTTCAGCAGCAACTCCAGGATCTCTAAGTGACCTTCTGCCGCGGCTGCGGATAATGCATCGTTCAAACCATCATAATTGGCTCCCAGTGAACTGGCGCCTTTTGCAAGCAACATTTCGACTGTTGGTTTCACTCCTCTTCGTGATGCATTGAATAGAGGCGGGTCTAGTTCCTCCGATGATCGAAGCCAAGTGCTATCCCAATTGCACTGTTCCAAGCGCACCCAGTTGAAATAAACATCGCGCTCGGTGAACAGATGATCAACCTTCTCCTGGAGACCGGTACTCCTGGCGTGTAGATCTCCTAATTTTGCCAAATGATGATGCCAGTATTTTGCAGCATAAATGAGTAGTGGGCGTTGAACGGCAGTAGTCTTTGTGAGAATATCGATGGTTTCCAGCAGAGAGTCGATACTTTTATTTGCAATAGCATCATGACCAGATAGGGTCGAGAACTGATACCATTGACCCTCGATTTCGTTGCAAACTAGAAACTCTTTCACAGAGAAGTGGGCCAATTTGACAGTATCATCAGAGATGCTCACAGTGACCAAGGAAGTAGTGCAAGTCGTTACAACGTCTTCTGGAAACCGGAAAGATACAACAGCTGCTACGGTCTTCAGATCCAGCGGGACGGCAGAGAAACTCAGCCAAATCAGGATTGTGCGAGCTGCCTTTCGATCATCTGGTGGGAGCCTTTCGAGGGTATCTCTATAGGTATCCTCGAGTGTAACTGGAATGGAATTAAGAGCCTTGAAGAATGCATCCTCGGTCTTGGACTCTTGAAGCCGCTTGATCTGTAAATCAGCCCAGCGAAAGCGCCTGCTCAATCACCCGTGTCAATCATGCTGTATAGATCTGTTTATCAGGACAACATACCGTTCTGGAATTTCAAGCAATTTCTCTAAGGTCCGCTCTTTTATCGAGTCGTCCCATGCACTCAACCTGCCGTCGGAGACTTGAGCCCGGACAAAAGTTTCCACATCTTTCGCCAATCCAGCCTCTAGATTCACGCTTTGATATTGTTCCAGCCTTGAGCGTATATCAGGCTCTGGTCGGCTGGTAGCCAGAATATGCAGTTTAGTTCGATGCTTTTTCAATAGGTCTTCTAGAAATGGCAGAAGCAATCCCCGTTCGCCGTTCTTCGCGGGGCACTCATCCAGAGCATCAAGGATGAGGAAGAACTGACCCTCAGAGGCTTCCAATACAAACTTGAGAATCTCTGCGAACTGTTTCTGGTGTGGGTTACTGCCTCGATGGCGATGCTCTTCCCATAGTTTGACCATAGATGCAGGGAGTGGTTTTGGCATGAACTGTCGTATTATGGACCTGATCATATTGTACACCTTCTGTGTTTCGTCATTGCTGAACTGAAAGTACCAGTAGGCAAACTGCCGTGATGAAACAGGCTTGCAGTGTTCCTCAATATCTTGAATGACTGTAGAACAGAGAACCGATTTTCCGCATCCGACTTGCGCCAAATGTCAGTTTTGATTTTGGTGAAGGATTAGAGAAACGCACCTGCTCCATACAGCCAACAAATCTTCCCGGGCGTGGCCTTCCATTCTTTGTATTCGGGTAAATTGAGAAACCAATCCCCCGTGTTTGATGCGCGGGGGTGTTGGGTATTGTTTTGGAAATCGGAGTAGGATGCCGTGGACAACCAATCGAGGATCTCTAGATCTTGCATGCCTGCTGGAATTAGTGTGCGGCCTCCTCGAAAGGCCATTGCCTAGTAGATTGCTTACTTCTGGTGTGCGATTGGATAACCTTCAGCTTTTCCACCGCTTCATCAATCCCGTCTAGTATGCTTTCGGCTTCTCTCTTGCGGTCTGTGGTAGTAAGCATGCTGCCTCTTGTTGTTCATCCTGACAGAGAGGAGATAGCAGTACCTAGATCTTCCGTAAGGCTTGTCCACTTCTGAACTGCCTGCGCTTTGCTTTCGATAGTATTCTTGAGATCCCTGAGCGGCTGTTGAATCAGGGCCGTGAAGCTTTTGACGATGCGATCTCTCGGGCCATCAGTTTCGATCACCATATGGAAGAATCCCGAATCCGTATTTCTCACCAGCTTTACTTTCTTTTTCTGCCTCTTTGACCTCTGCCGTGTACTGAAGAATTGCTATGTAGACTTCCACTAGAGCGTCTTCCAATCCTCGATTGCTTTCCACCCGACTTCCCGATAATGGCGGTCAATGATCGCATAGTAGGAGAGATTGCGGGCTAGATACTCGGCTGCCTCGAAGATGTCGTCCCGACGTTGGAAATTGTTTTGTATCAATGTCAGGCCAAATGAAACGACAGACCATGCACTTGAAGCTGGACTGTGACTTTAGCAGATGTGCAGGCTGAACGCCATGGAAGGTTGAGTGGCTGGATTGCTCACCATGGCCCGTCGGATCAAACGACACCAATGCCTTGACAAGCTCCTGCGCCTGCAATGCATAGAGAATGATATTCTTGGCGGTTTCGCGGACGTCGATCTGCCCCCCCTCGCGCTTGCGGATCTTGAGCCCACCTTCCTTATACTCGCGGTACTTCTCTTCTGTTGTTTCGATAACGCCCTTGATGGCGTCCGTGATGTGGGTAGCGCTTTCCTGCTCCAGAATTTCGCGGTGTTTCTTGTCTAATCTCTCTCCGGCCACCTCCCAGAGATTTCTTCTTGGGGAATTATCGGTGCTTGCCTCGTCCAGGGAAGAGACACTATGATCGGTCCTCGTGGCGATGCGGTCGTCGTCGTTCGTGCTCGGGGGCTGGGACTGGTCGCCATGCTTCTCACGGGCATGTCGATCTGGCTTTGTGGATTTGAGTCGAGCGCAAAATCTCCGGAACATTGTGGAAAACTCTTTGGAGGGGAAATTCTTTGTCCAGGGTGGAACCCATCGAAGGAAACAAGACGGGCAGTCAGCCTATCTATTCTCCCGGGAGGGGGTAGCGAACACCTGGCATGCGTACGCTAATTAGCTAGCCTTGAGCACGGCGGCAAATCTCACTGTCTTACTGGTCTATCCATGTAGTCGACTTTTTCAGTCCTGCGACTTTGGGGGAATTTTTTCTTTTCTTTTTTTTGTGGTACGAAGGACGAATGTCAGAACAGCTCTAGGAGCTGAGACACACGTCCGCGCAGTGCGGGGGTTTGATGTGACTTATTGGGGCGATTCGCCACTTTTAGTATGCACGCGGTTTCCAGGCCTGTTCTCGCGGCCTCAGGCAGCAGTTCATCTAACTGGATAATTCTCACATAACAGCCCAGTGCATGCCCTGTGCCCAAAGACTTTGCAGAAAGACAAAGGATAGAGATTTGCTATTGAGAAATCACTCTTGTACACCTTGCGTCGAAACCTCTTTCCGCCCCGCAGACACGAGCTTATATTTCTAAACCCTAACGCCAAGGCACTATTTCGCGCAGGAGTCTATATCTGGCAACCGGGTAACTTTTTATGGATCAACGACTAGCAGATCATCCAGCTCGAATTCCACCTCCCGCCCTTGGGCCTCCAGCTCCAGATATCCAGGTGCACTCTGCTCGATAATGCGGACCCAGAGACCCCGACATCCGTAACCCGGAAAGAGGAACTTGTTGTTCAGTCGGGTGGACTCCAAGAGCTCGAGGATGGGAAGGTTCATGTCCAAGCTATATCGATCGTATCAATCAAGAAAGGTTTCATCAGAAGACGAGAGAAGTCAGCAGCACGTACGGTTCATTATACTGCGGCGGGCCCCCGATTCCCGACTCGGCAATCTCGTGCAGGTCCTTCCCCAGGACCTGCTCGAAGGTCATAGTTTGCCCTATATTCCAGGGTCGACGGAGGGTCGAGATGCGGACGTCGCCATTGGAGCCATACTCTACCAGGGTAAGACGCCCCGTGGCCAGTCCCGGCGCATCGATAACGAACCACGTAAGATCCGGCCCGTCGGCGAATACCACCGTGCCCTGACGGGTCATAGAAATGGCGTGGTAATCCGCCGGGGTGAGATACAGCGCCGGGAGGATCTTGTTGAGGGTAGTAATAGCTGTGGCCGCCGGAGGGCAGCCAAGTAGTTCTGGAATATGACAGCGGGGGGCGTTGCCCGCCCCACGGAGGTCGAAGGGGTGCCGTCTGCTCCATTCATCTTGGTGGACGTATAACAGAATAAGAAACTTGACGAGGTGGATGTAGCTGCGCGAATAGGTCTTCCGGTCTATTGGGGCCAAAAACAAGAAGCGTTTGTTGGGTCTCGGGGCGAGCTGCGAGAGTACCTGGGCCGGGTAGTCGACAGCCGAGGTGTATCCGGCGGAACGACTATGGTAGGACTGCGGCAGTGTTACCCTTCAATCTTCTTCCTCCTCCTTTTTCACTCATGCTCATTCATGCTGAAGATGAAGCAGGCAAGAGAGGGACAGATAAGAAGATGGCAAGAGGAAGAATCTGGAGACTTCGGGGGGTTATACGCACCTCGCGGAACTCCTGGCTTCCGGTAGCCCAGTTCTCGATTAGGGCTCGTCGCTGGCGAAGCCCATCTTCGGTAGTTGACGTCGGGTGGGATTCTTCCTGCAGCCGGCGAGAAAGTGATCGGAAACCGTCAGTGCGACATATCATGATATAGGGATGTGTGCTTCCGCAGAATCTCCCCTACCCGTACGAATAGCAACCATCCCTTGGTCTCTTCCGCGAGCTCTTCCGGGTCCAAATCGGTCAGATGCAGGCGGATTTGCGGAATGGGCGCCGGCCAGGATACTTCTGGCATCCGCTGTGACGTTCGGGACTGGAATTTCTGGGTGTGAGAATCAGAAGAAAAGAAGGAAAGGGGGTAAAGCATTCATCCCGCCAGTCCACCGAGTTTACATAAATTTCATAGGGAAGAAAGGGTCCACAAAAAGGATTACAAAACATTACAATAGTGCAATGTTGATTGTGGGTCCTACCCCGCCCATTCATCTCGCGCCCGAGGGCCTTAATTACACCCGCCATGGGAACTATCACAGATGGCCGATGCGCAATACTCGTCGGTGGATCCACGGCCATCTCGGTTGGCCAGCCTCCGACGGTCATTCCCCCGGTCAGTCACTCACCAGTATCCATAAATGCTGCAACAGGATCCGAACTGGGAGCCGAAGCACGTATAACCCCCATTGTCAGCGCCGCAGAGCCTGGGGATACTTTTCATCAAGACGACTTACCAGTCTCCCCAGATACTGCAGCAATCACCAAAGGCAGATTGCTCACACGTGTAACCCGTAGTTCCGCCACACGTGCCGTCCGTGGCCGTAGCGGCAGAGGTTGTGGTGGTAGACGTGACAGTGGTGCTGGTCGAGGGGCTGGTCGAAGTCGCCGTACGAGAGGCAGACGCAATCGTGGAGGTTGAGCCCGCGGCGGCATCGCCCGAAGTCGAAGTCGTCGCCGTCTCGCTGCCAGTGACCAGGGGGGATGCTCGTATTGAAAGGGGATGGCAGGGGTCGGCTGGCTTAGATCCAAGTCACACACGCGATCTCATTCACTGTACCAGGCGGTATTGTAAATCTGATGCGAGAAGTTCAGAAGTCAATAGGACATCAATCATCTTTACGCATGTGGTATCATGTTTGATGGTGATCATAGTAAGGTTAGTCGAATTTTAGCTCAAGCTAAATCCAGGTTCGTTCGCAGATATGCTCGCAAGAAAGAGGAAGGCAGGGCGCTGGAAGATAGTTGGCCATATGACTGACAAGATTGTCTATATCTGATGATTCCGGTTCATTTTGTACTTGAATGCAGCTCTGGAGTGCGGCGCTGAATATAGGTTTGAAAACAATTGTAAATAAAAATCTGCTGGCGAACTATGGTGCTGCATGCTTATGATAGTGTTGGAGTACAATTTTGACCAGGTACTTGTTCATATACATGGTTTGTTTGATACAGTATGTCTGACGAAACAGCTAATAACTGTCACCCAAATAAAGACAAATCAATCGATTCAACACTCAATCCCAATCAGCTGCAGTGACTCACAGAGCAAGTCCACGCGCCTCCCTGGCTGATCGCGCAGATCCGATGTGGACTGCTTCTCCACACTCCAACTCCCAGGAACTCCCCATGAATCGAATGGTAGGTTCCAACGAGGGGATATCTTGTCATGACGCCCGCCGGACGCAATACTAGATCGTATCGAATCTGATTGATCCTGCGCTGGACAATGCAGGTCCCACCGCCTGGAACTAACTGCGAGGAGCGCAGGCCCTCCAAACTCGACATCCAGTTGGCGGGGTTGATATCTTCGCCAAACACAATCCCATCCCCCTTTCCACTTCGGATCGGCTTGAGGATATAGTCATTTCTCAGGTCAGGGTCCTGCTTGCAGGATTCGATCAACTGTTCAAGTTCGGCCGAGCCAGGGAGTATTGTATCGGCAATGCCTTTCTCAAGAATCTTCGCCTGCGCGTACGTGAGGATATCTCGGTCTACTAGAGTGTCGAGCTCCTGTCTGACAAGCCCGAGCATTCGCTTGTCGTGGACAAGTAAAACAGTACGCAAGTCATTAAAGCACCGGAGGCTGACTTGGCGGAGCATCTCTGGACTGAGCGCACGAAGCTCCTTTTGGTGCAGCTCCAGGCCCACCTGATAAATCTCTTCCATGGTCTCTCCATCATAAGTAATCACCGATTTCGCGTGCTCGGTGTTCCGGGCCTCGGTATCTCTTGTCACGCAACAGAGGCGGTAGCCGCCCTTGGCTTGTGAACATGGCACGAGCCTGAGATCGGCTGGCGGCACAAAACGAGGGTTGATGCCAAAATGTGTTCTGAGATACTCCACCACCATATGAATATCAATGCCAGGTTCGTCCCCTTTGAGAAGGTGTAATGGCAACCTGAGATCGAAAAGCCCCAGAAGGCCACCCAGCATCTGATCCAGTTCGAAAGTTTAGCTTCTGTAGAACAAACCCTCAAAGAAAGCATGATAGTATCCATCATCAGCTCTTACCTGGGCGGGCTCAGTCGTGCCGACTAATCCATTACCTGCATCGCAGATACCCTCCTCCTTCAGCGCCTGTTGCCCACAAGCCGCATACATCATTCCATTGAACGAAAAACGAGCGTTGATTTCACTGATTCGGAAATTCTCTATAGGACCCGGGACACCTTCGCGGCTTTCGTCTTCAACCAGAAAGTCCGGTCTCCACGAGCCGCGGCAGTCACGATAGGGCGGGAGGTTACTTGGTACTTGGCTATCAATCCACTAACGGGGAGGAAGGCCACTTAGTATGCCATACGATACAGCACCAGGCAGGGCAACAACCTACGCGGAGAAGCTCTTCTTCTGCTGGTTCCAGAGGCATGCGTTCGGGGTATCTCGACCCTGTGTCCGTCCACCACCTCTCGACGATGTCAGTGATAGCCAGGACCAAAGCCTCATTGAGGTCCTTCCATCGACGCTGATGCTCCGCTGAGACAGCGATCGGCCGGGGAATGAAGGCCGATCTCGAACTCTTGTGCCACGAGTTGGGAGAGCAGAACCGCAACAGGCTTTCTTGAATGGCCTCTTGATCTTCCGTGTATGTCGCTTTGCTCGGGTCAAAGGAGGCTATGGGCTGGAATTGCCCCCCGCCGCGGAAAACATGGACCTGGTGCAGAAGCTCTGATGCTGGAGACTTCATTGTGTGGAGGTATGGGTAAACGTGCTGGGTTTCTTCAGTTGGATGGGTGAGTAGAGTAAGGTAGGCGGAGTAGGGAGCCCTCTTTAGCACCAAAAGAAAGGGGCACTTACTCAACCACGACAAGGGTAACTAATTAGAGCAAGGGGACGATCAGTGGACTCCCTAGATGGGTATACCACGTGTCGCAGAATCGCTTCCTAAATCGGCCTTCCCGATGCCCTTCCTCGCGGCCTGTCTCGTCTGTTCTTCAATTCCAGTTTCGTCCTATTGTAACTTAATTTGGTTATCCGCAGTAACTTACCAACCTCTTGAGTTACGCACGATACTATGATATTGGATTGTAACAAATGGCCCGGTGAACCAGAGCATGTCTGCAGCTAAGTGGGGATTGTTCTCACTGCGGCCCTCTACAATTACATAAGGGCAATGATTGGGTCCATAGTGCCGTTAACGCGGTGGGTCTCCCGATTGCCTAGGTGGCGTGAGGGCAAACCACCTCACATCACATAACAGCTTCTGTGATTTTAGTTCGTCATTTGCTGAAAATTGTACCTGTCTGATGTATCCAGTGACAGTGTCCCTGGCCCCGCATGAGCTGGACGCCTCACCGTCTCGATCACCGCGTTTTGATGAATGTCTCCTCCCAGGTAGCGGAATCCACCCCGCTTCAAGCATCTCTCCTTTTTTACTGCCCGGCTGTGGTTATCGATTCATCAGTCTAGAGCAACGTCAATCTCACACTGGAAAATACCAAGAGCAGGATTCGATCACACTAGATCGTGTTTGCAGATCGTTTTGGGGTTACAGAGACTATGGATATTACATGCAATAGCTTCGTCAGGTGCATCTAGTTGCCTGGTAGAGCTTCTGTGAGGCTAGTCGTGGGGAGTACAGCTGCATCTGTACTCCGGAGAACTGCAGGCTCAGGGATCCATGTATTCTCGGTGGCGATGGGCCACTCGCAATCCCTGAACTAGCTCCCTCCAGCTATTGTTGGTAAGTAATCTCCAAACATGCGCCTTGCTTCTATATCTGATTAGATGGTAAATTTTGTCAGTCGCAGGCGGAGGGGGCAACATAATCGTATGAGTGTGCGAAGCTTAGCGCCGAGTTCGAATGCCTTTTCTCCCCAATCCGCAATTCCTGGCCTCGGAAGGTCACGGTGCACAGTCGTATATGTAGCCGTGGTACCTCCTGCCTCTCCAAGTTCTCTTTCTGCCGCTGATATATCGCCGTAGCAGCTGGAGAAAGATCTTTGCATCAGGGTAGTCCGGCGCCGTGTTTTCCTGCTTCCGTTTCTCCAAGGCGCAGACACATTTCCCCCAAACATGTGGCAGGCACTAAGGAATATCAATCTCACCAACCCGGCAGGCTCCACTGGCAGTAAGTCAATCATAACTACTCAAACCATAGCATCGCGAGAATGCCGAGACCGATTTCTGATGTCACAACCAACAGCGTTATTATCACGCGGCCTGCCGCACCTGGTAGCGACCGACCTCGGCTGTGCCAACCGCCCAAGACACCTCGCCGAGGTGTCCAGCTTGATGCGGAAGAACGGCATCCTCAAAGTGAGCCTGCAGTTCGAGGACGACTCCAGCCGGTATCTCCAGCGGCTGGTCCAGGGGCTCCACGACCACTACGGCCACGGGCTGCCCATCACCCACAGTGCATCTCGCGGCTGGTTCTGGGACGTCCGACCGAGTCGGGCGACGTTCCAAACCCCGTCGCATCAGGCACGATCCGAGACCATGGAGGAGTTTCCTTGGCACACTGACTGTAGCTACGAAGACGCCCCGCCCCGCTACTTTGCCTTGCAGGTTCTCCGCGAAGACCGGTGTGGCGGGGGCACACTCTCCGTCATGAACGTCGAGAGGATCGGTTCGCTCCTTTCGCCGTCGACCTGCGCGGCGCTCCATCGGCCCGAGTTCCGCATCGCCGTGCCCCCGGAGTTTGTGAAGTGCAGCACGAAACACGACACGGTGGGCAGCCTGATGGCTGCCGGCGCAGAGGGCTCGCACTGGACGATTCGCTTCCGGGAGGATCTGGTCACCCCTCTGACGGCCGAGGCCGCGCTGGCGCTGCAAGAGTTAAAGGAATGTCTTCACGGACTGAGCGTGCAGGGTGAGCCGCTACATCTGACGCCGGATACGCTCCCGCGGGGCTCAGTGATCCTCATGGATAATTTTCGGTGGCTGCATGCTCGGAACCAGGTGATGGATCCTGAGCGTCATCTGCGGAGGGTGCGGTGGGACGCGAGGCCCTTCCCGTCTGGTCTGTTGTCCCGTATTGAGTGAGCCATCATCCATGCAGTGATGTTGGGGGTGACCTACTACGTACGGGAACTGCGAATATCACAAAAGGCCGTACGGAAGGCACTAGTGCCGCCGCCGCTGCTGCTCCTCAGCATCAGCAGTTTGTAGATTTGTGCTTCTAAATCTAGGCAATCGTTCAGGAGAAGCTTTTTACTTAGGCTGAGGTCAATTAATTGGAGTCTTCAGTTTTCTGAAGGGGTGGAAATCCTTTTCTCCCCGTCAGCAAACACGAGCACGAATATAGGAGAACATAATTCCACAATCACTTCCGTAGTACGGAACCAGACTGTAACTTTTTCACATAGTAGTACCTATGATACGCAGACCGTCTAGGGTTGGGGCTGACCGGGTAGCGCGGTCCGTCCCCCAGCCCGGAGCCCACTCCGGTTGATCTCGGTGATTTTGTTAGGACGGTGAAGTTAGAGTTTACTTGGTTGGCCTAATAATCCACTGAGAAACGGAAATAGTCTACAAGCGAACAGAGTGGGAGGATGTGTATGCAAGGGGAGGGGGGCATGCATTCAAGTCTAATGGTGGGAATTACTTGAACATGGCTGGTTCTATGCTACCGCAGATATTTCATAGTGCAGTGGAATATCTGGCATTACTGCCCCCCAACACGGGCATAGACCAATGTATAACTATATCCACAGTATAAATTAAATAGATTGAAGGTGCTGTATATTAATTGTGTATATAGTAGGCAATAGTGGATACAATGTCGAATGTAACCTCCTTATGCACCTCAACAGTCATGTTCCTCATGACTCGCGCAGTGCCTTGGCTAATGCCGTATGATAATACTTTCTCCCGGCTACAGCAAGCTACTCGTGCCAATTTGCAATAACCAAATAGCCCATGATTGTCCCATCATCGGAGTCGCTTTCTTCGCTGCTCATTGGCGAGCCCAAACCTTAAGCGAAGGCTCCCTGCTTTCTCTCACACCGACCCCATCCATTCTTCCAAAGCTGGATCCTTGTGTTTATTTTAAGATCTCCATTCCACTGACAAGACATTTTGTAGTGGCAAAAGGGGGGGGGGGGGGGGCGGATCTCTGGTTCTCGGCCCTTTGGTAAATCACACCGCTACTAACCTAGTAATCTACCAAGTAGATCACCACTGTTGCAGACGGGACTCGATCAGTCGATTGAATGATTCAGCTGCTTTGTGGGTCCCTGAACCCTGAAGATCATTCAACAATCTCATGTATGTGAAAGAGAGAAAGTTATTAGAAGAAAAAAAAAAAAAAAGGGAAAACCGCAAGGGAATATGCCAATGAGGTTGGTTGGGAATGCCAGCGACATGTAAGAAAATCCCTCTATTTGCAGGATAACAGTACCGCTGACGACAATGTAGACAAAAGTGACGAGCGTATCACGGCTACGTTGCTCTTGGCGCTAAGCATCAATTGGTTAGTCTGGATTCTCAATTCAAAATACAAGTAAATTCATTTGCCACACCGTGTCTCGCTGATATGCACGACCCGCGCAAGCGCCTTTGCCAATTCTAGATGAAGCAGAGCAGTATCATCGGCCATAGCATGTTACCTAACCAAGACTAAAGTCATTAAATGACGCGGAGTACGCGGAGTCCCTGATCTCGGAAAAGCGAGACTAGGCAGATGATCGACACGGTCGTTTTCTGAAAGGTCAAACGAGTTCAGAGCTGAGCGAAAGGCGATGCCCGTAAGAGTATGGCTCAATATGGCAGAAGCGAGATTTATCATGTGCTTTTCAGAGATTGCGGTCTGTCTGGGAGGGGAGATGTGGGCGTATTCGATGTGAAGATTCGAGGTAATCTCGTTCAAACCACCTCCTCTTCGTCGAGAATCATCCAGGATGACTACCAAGAACTTTCCACTCTCGGACGTGCTCGCGGTCGCGAAAATCCATCCGTTCTACAATTCAGATGTACTTTATCCACCGGGTCCTGAGCAGATCCGGGCTATTGTGCAGACTGGAGTCTCTCAATCCGGGCAGACTACGAGTAGCAGTCTCGAGTCGCTGCCACTGACAACCAAGAAGAATCTGTACGTGAGCTCTTCGCCGCATTCCCCATCAAGCTCAGTCAACCAACTCATATCTCACAGCTATCGGGTTATCGAGCGATTGACCAAGGACACGAGCCCGCACAACGAATACCGCCGCAGCGCCTATGTCAGCATCACAGGCGGTGGTTCCGGGGGTTTGCCGCTGATGTTTTTGTCGGATGCGAAAGAAAACCGGCAGCACCGCGCAGCATTTGGCGATTTCCTGAGGATCTGCGGAGTGGTGAAACCGCACGATTGGATCCTGACAACGCATGCCGCGGGCTATTGGTATAGGTTCGTTTTAGCCTTCTGCGAAAGATTTAGGGCTGGTAGAGCTGACCTTGGGGCTTTCATTCACGCTTGGCTAGGTCTCTTGACCTCATGACTGAGATTCTAGAAAACGCAGGGGGGACGGTTCTCAGCGCTGGCAATTTCATGACTCCCGATGAGGTTGTACGCGCCCTTGAGCATTACCAGATCAACGTCTTGACAGGCGATGGCAGTCAAGTCATTCAAATTGTCCACCGGATCGGAACCCTTCCGGCCGAGAAGCGAAAAGGGATCAGATTGACGAAAGTGATCTACACCTCTGAGCCGCTGACTGACGGTCAGAGACAATACATCCGCGCGACGCTGGGCCCGGTCAAGATATGCTCCGTCTTAGGAAGCGCAGAATCCGGGCCATACGCCCTCCATAATCCGGACCTGACCGGGGAGGCCGGGCTCACAGGCTCCATGGACTTTGTCTTTGACACCCGGAGCCTCGTGGTTGAAATCTTGCCCCCTTCCGTCATGGAAAGTGATTCCCCGTCGGGGCTCAGGTCCCTGCCGGAAGGCCAGGAGGGAGTCCTCGTCCAGACCTCCTTGCAACGGCGGCGCAATCCCCTTGTACGTTACATCACTGGTGATCTCGCATCGGTTCACCCACTCCCCGACCTTGCGCGATCTGTGGTCCCGGAATCGGATCTTGAACACTTGCGGGTTCTCCGTTTGCGGGGTCGTGATCGTCGCTTCAGTTTCAAATGGTTTGGAATGTACTTTGAATTCACCAACATCGAGAAGCTTATGCAGAGGGAGGACTTCGGGTTGCTGCAATGGCAGATTGTCAAAGCGACCCATGATTCATCCCCGCAGACAACGCTTGAGGTTAGGATGCTCCGGGAGGCAGCGAGTGAACGATTGATCGCTCGACAAGATCTCGTCCATGAACTGGAGACTTTCTTTTTCGTGCTGCCCGAGAATCGGCATCTGTTTCGGCTGACGTTCGTGGAAGATCTGGGTGGGTTTGAAAAGAGCGGCACGGGGAATAAAGTCATGAAATTCGTGGATCGAGCACATTAGCTCTACATGTAGACAGGATACTTACCAAGACCATAGGAAATGTGTTCCTTCTCTTTTGCATTAGGAAGTTTCCACTCGCCTGGCTACTGCATCATTGTCGTGTATTAGCTACTTGCAGCGTGTGTCTTTCCATGCATCTAGCACGTAACTCGCCGGGGCCTGTAATCCACCACGATTCTCTATCCGAGATAATCATTGTGATATCATTCAGCGTATTTAATATAGTTTGAACAAGGTATTTAGAAATGTCTGCTTGACAACGTGGTCGCACCAGTTCTATCGATTGCCACTAGTCAGGTTCATTGCATGCCCCAGCAATGTAGGAGTTACTCAAAATAGTATTTCTGATTGCACATCGCTCGGAGCTCATATAAATTCCGGTGTTGGAGATCTGTCCTGTTCAACCGTATCATATTCTTCCAAGGCTTCCAGCAAGCATGGCCTCAGAAAGCATCTCAGATAGAGATGCCCATGCGACAACACTCCCAGCAGAAAAGCTGGAGGCGAATGATGACTCGCAAGAAGAGGATCGTATGGAGTACCCGACAGGTGCCAAGCTTGTCATGATTCTTGTTGCCATCTTCTTGTCTTTGGTTCTCACCGGGCTGGTGTGTGACATTCCACGGCGGTAATCGCTTCACCCCCTCTCCCCACCAGAACTCTTACCAAGGAAAGCATTAGGACTTCAATATGATAGCGACAGCATTGCCTATCATCACCACACATTTCCAGACCATTGCCGACGCTGGTTGGTATTATTCAGCATAGTGAGTGTTGTCCCTTATGTTCTTCCTTGTTGTTTCAAGATTGAGTGGTCAGTTGGTTTAATAATAACGCACATCAGCCGTTTGACCTCATGCGCTTTTCAGTTTATCTTTGGCAATCTATACCATCTTTTCTCTACCAAGTCCGTATTTCTTGCCTCCGTGCTCATTTTCGAACTGGGATCTCTACTCGCTGGGGTAGCGCCCACGTCCAGCGTGTTGATACTAGGGAGGGCAGTATCTGGCATTGGTTGCTCAGGTATCATTTCCGGAGTCCTGACGTTAGCTTTGCCTCCCTGATTTCTTTCTGTCTAATGACTTTTCTGTTCCTGTATTGCGCTCCGGCTGACTCGTCGAATAGCATTATAGCGCAGTGCTTTCCTCTCCGCAAACGTCCGCTATTTACTGGTCTAGCAGCAGCCTTCGAAGGTGTATCTTCGGCTGTTGCCCCAATGCTTGGGGGAGCCTTGACGCAAAGCATCTCCTGGAGATGGTGTTTCTACATCAACCTCCCGCTCGGAGGCCTTTCCTTCCTGCTGATCCTGTTGTTCTTCCAAGATCCATTGAAATCAAAGCGTAAAACGCTACCATGCAGGGCCAAGCTTCGCCAACTTGACCTGCTCGGCGCTGGGCTTTTCATCACGTCAGTTACCTTGCCCTTATTGGCACTTCAGTGGGGAGGCACTACCTACTCCTGGGGCGATGTTCGGATCATCGTCCTCTTCGTCTTATCCGGTGTCATCCTGACTGCCTTTGTCTGGCACCAGAAGAGGAAGGGCGATCATGCTCTGCTCCCCGCCCGCGTGATGCGGTCACGAAGTGTCTTTGCCGGAGTGTGGTTCGGCCTCTGCAATAATTCGTCTTTGTCGGTGTTTGAGTATTATGTATGCGCCCCGGGACGCTGAGAGGAGTTTTCTCTCTCTCTCTCTCTCTCTCTCACTCCCACCGACTCACTGACTAACTGTGTTTCGGAACGAAGATGCCGACCTACTTTCAAGCCGTCCACGGGGTATCTGCCACGCTGTCCGGCGTGCTTTGTCTGCCGATCGTGGTCGGACTGACCCTGTCCATCCTTGTCGGAAGTTCCCTTACGAGTGCCATGGGATACTATACCCCCTTTATGATTGCCACAGCCGTCATCAGTCCGATTGCAGCCGGCCTGCTCACCACGTTGGGAGTGAAGCAGTCTCTCGTCTCGCTTATTTTCTATCAGGCTCTTCTGGGCGTTGGCACGGGCATTGGCTTCCAGGGGCCCCAAGTGGCCGTTCAGACGATCCTGCCGGTCGCCGACGCCCCGATTGGCATTGCGCTGATCATCTTCGCCCAGAACGTGGGGCCCGCAGTCTTCGTCTCAATCGCCCAGACTATCTTCACCAGTGAGCTTCTTGTCAGGCTCCGGGGAATAGTGCCGGGCCTGGACGCGCAGGCATTGACCCAGATGGGGGTTTTCGAGCTACAGCAGCATGTTGCTCCGGCTGACAGGCCGCGAGTGGTCGAGGGGTATGATCGAGCTTTGACCACAGCATTTTTTCTGCCGGTTGGCCTGGCTTGTGCTACTATGGTTGGGGCATTGGCGATGGAGTGGAGAAGTGTGAAAAAGTGAAGCAGTCGAGGAAGAGCGCTCAGATGTGCTCGCTGACTTGCGATAGATGTGCACAATACTGATCTGTGGTTGCTCTAGACTGACCCGCTGCTTGATCATGTTCACCGCCTGTGTCTTCATCACCCGCATCCGATGCTCTTGATCTCTGACGGAAGTGAACAAGTCCTGCTGCGTCGTGCCCTGGTATGAAACCGGAATGATGATGGAACTTGAATCTCTGTATCTAAGCAGCATCGAGAAGAAGATGAAATGGGACTCTTTTCCACGGTAAGAAATAGCATCTGCGTAGCATTTTCATTATATTATATGCACAGTCAACAGTGGATACAACAGACTTCCCGTAGGCTATCTTGAAGTCCGGCTGAAACATTACTCGTCACCATTTCCAGTACGGGTTTATAGACCTGTCAAGAATTCTTTGAACCAGCAGAAGGCTTTTACGCTCTGCTTCAGGCTCGCCACTCTTCTCTATCTCTGAATATAGAAGTCACCCGGCCCCCATTCGAAGGTCTTATTATTCTTGGATCCAATTACATCCTCAATTCCCATAATGCAGCAGTCTTATCAACACTCCCTTGAGATGACCTTCGAAGAGACCTCACCTGTAGATCACGAATTTGTATGTTACGGGGGCAACCAGATCCATTATCAAAGGGCGTTCACCCCGCTTGCAGCGATCCAAAAGAGCATCTGCAGATATTCGTCAACAGCTCTATGGCCTTGTTTAGGATTCAGTGTATCAGTACACAGTTGTAGAGACAGGGAGAAGCAAGAGATTCCCTAAATCAGCATGACTTTTCAATGGCGCATATGTACTTGATTTCTTGTACTGAATTTCACCACGTTCGGCTCTGTGGACTTGGGAGCAGGTTCAGCCATGCCTTTTCGGCGTATTACGGCGACGGATAGATTACGCTGATCAAAACGTGCCTTTGAACAAGAAGACATGGCTGGAAAGTAACGTGCTGTGCGCGGCGATCTCGCTAAAATGGCTAGGTCTCGAACGGCAGGCTGTGGGTGTGTTGGGTGTGCAGCATGGCCCAGCTGCTGCGCGAGGGGGTGGTCGGGCTCGACGCACAGGCATGGTGTTCACACACGGCCCGGCCACGTCCTGCAGCGCCGCCACGCTTGTCTTAGACCGCACCAGCTGCCCGTGGTGCTGGTTGGGTCGTTGGCAGGCGCCGTCGTGTCCGGCGAGGTGCCGCGTCTGCGTGATGCAGGACCCCCTCCAGCAGGCCTATATGGTATCTACCCGCTGGGGTAAACATCCCTTACTATTTACATCATCATATTGCGTTCTCGATCACTAATGATGAGGTTTCAGTAGTCGCCTCTTACTGTAGTGGGTGAGAAAGGGGCTACGTGGTACTACTTCATCGATGCACGAATCTCTGCATCTGGGCCGAGGCGGGCCGAACCGGCTAAATCCGTCCAGAATACAGTGAGAGCTCCCGGACTGCGGGGAGGCGGCAGTACTAGGTATAGTATAGCTCCTGCTATTATCACTCGGTATTCTTCTCGATCGGTATACCACATTCCGACTACTCAACATTGAACCACAAAGACTGAGCAGAAAGACAACCCTTTACAACTTTAGCCGTGGCGTCATCACATCTACTGATGACCCATTGCCAATAGATCCTCGTGTCATATCGGCAATGCAGAAGGCAGAGACCGGTGGAAGCGCTGCAACTGCAGAGGCGATCGCTTACACGATCGAAAACGTCAAGGGTCGCGCAGCTCAAAATACCGCGCTTGTTTTCACTTGTAGGCCTGGGCCCAGTCTGGAACGAAGGTCCCGCAGAACAGCAGGAAAATGAAAAAGATGACGACGAGCAGCATGCCGTCTGGTGACTCTGGAACCCACTGTTCAACCGTCAGGAGAGTTCCAAGCTGGCGATAATCTAATCAACCTCCGCGGCTCTTTATTTGCTGTCGCCAGATATTCCCGCCCTTCCCCCCAATAAGGTCAACAGAACGATTGGGATGACTGGATCAGGACATCTTTCCAGGATTGGGGTTCAGGAAGAATAAATTTAATAGCTATTACGAATATGACATGTGCATGCCAGGCATACTCCAATATACTAAAATCAATCTTATCTCTCGCTCGCACCTGTTGACACGATCTGTATTCACTTACTTGGCGATATCCACCTGATGGAAGACGACTGCCTAGTAGCGATTACCTTAACCACCCTTTTCCACAGCAGGTACGGTACTAAGCAGTCTACCTTCAGCGAAATCCCTGTCCTCAGGGCACACGGCGACAAGCACGGCGAGACAAGAGTGATCTCTTTGTCTGGATCAAGTGCGAATCTCAAGACAATGGCGTGGGGTGGCTTGATGGGCAGTCAACCTAGGTCGAATGTGGCTGGGGTTTCTCATGTCTCAGCAGAAAAGCAAACATTCCTTTCTCTCCATGTCTTTCTAAGTGACTTTGACTATACCCAGTCTTACAATCTACCACTTTCAAGTATGAATATATTATATTTTGTATTTTTAACTGTCAAACCTGGCGTTTACTAATACAAGTTGGTATAAATAGTCTAATAACTTTTGATACACAGCTCCGTACCTGGACTGGTCTCCAATTCTAGGTGCCAAGAGGCAGGCAAACCCCCCTTTCCCCAGCAGAGGTAGAACACAAATTGTAGATTACACAGATACAAACCAATTCAAGAAAAAAAAATAAAAACATTTTTGGTGGTAAAAATCTCTTAATAAGATATACATCCATAATAGAAGTACTGGTAATTAATCTTTTAATCAGGGGACAAAGGTGAGGGACCGAAGACAATCAGATACCGTTGTAGTCTTAACCATAGAGTATGTCGACTAGGCATCGGGTGGGATTCTACAATGACCCGCTACTTGTATTGAATAACATAAATAAACAACTTACCCTTGCCCCTAGAGTTGGTGGTTGCCCGGATAGTCTTGTAGATAGACTACGTGAGGCTATTTGAGAGGAACTAAGAGCCACCGAGGTGGGCGGTGAGCGGCCTGACCGGCAAGGCCTCAGGAGGGCCACCGACACTACTGAAATGGACACCGTCAGCTGCACTAGTCCTCCTCATTAGACCGTACTCAATAGATCCAAGGCAAGATCCTCCACCGCACCGTCTGCTTATACGTCTTCCAATCCTCGCCATACTTCTTCGCGCACATGGCATCATCCGGCCGTTCGCGATGGACGAGCAAGACACCAAAGTACAGCACGTAGAAGTAGGTGAAGATCATCCCCCACCCGGCTGCCGGGCCTTGGATCGCGACCCGCCCGTCCAACATCGTGCGAGACGGCGATCCGGCGAGATCGCCCGAGGAGGCCAACGCTGCAGCCCCCGCCGGGAGTATCGTGTACCCTGCCACCCCCGTGGGCAGGCTAAAGGGCCACGCCTGCCCCCAGTCGCCGAAGTAGTTGATATGCCGGGAGAGACCCCACCAGCCAGCGGTGAGGAGGCGGGTGCCGCGCCTGGTGGTGATGGACGAGAGATTCCGCACGGCGGGATGGTTGGGCTGGGTGCGGAACAGGTGCTTCTGATTGTTCGCCGCTTTGAATATGTAAATCCCGAGGACGAAGACGGCGGCGACCGCGAGGATTCGTGGCCCGCCGAGATGCACGGGGAAGGCCGCGAGGTAACGAGCTTGGGTCGAGTAGAGGAAGGGGACCCAGACTAGGTCGCCGAAGGCAAGCATGAAGCCCATCCCGTCGGTCGTGATATACATCATCGTCAAGATGGATGACTCGTTGTACTGGCTGCTGAGGACGTAGTATGCCTGCGCGGCGGTCGTGAAAACGATGCTATCGGAGATGTATCCATAGTTGCGGTACTGTTGAGCGATAAATGCGAGGTCAAGCAGGATCCAACCAGTCAGACCGGGGCAAACTTCACACCACGTCTTGATGTCGACTTTCCCAACCAGAGGCAGGGTTATCCGGGGGTTGAGCTCCCGGCCGATGTAGAAATCGTAGATGAAGTTGCCTGTCATGCCGCCGGCAGCTAGCTCTCGAAGGTCGCGGTTGGGATACTTGGTGTCGACGGTGAAACTGTTGACGTAGAGAAAGACCGATAAGGCGTATGAGATGAGTACGTTTGCCGTCAGGAGTTGCACGTAATTGTCGGTGATAAAAGTCCAGACGGGGAACTCGGCCCCTTGGAGGAATGTGCCTGCCGCGCAGATAGAGAGAACAACCACATTGGCCGAGAACGCTATGCCGTCCGTTAGCTTGCGTTGATCCTAAAGGTTTGGAAGGTGTCGATACCATTGAATCGATACTGAAGGGGGCAATCATGGTGCACCAACTTGGTTCCATGAACCTCTTTTGCAGGAAGGATCTTCCAAAGGGAAAGACCGAAGACATAGTAGGCGACAGTGACCAGCGTCACTTTCCAGGAGAAGAAATTCGACAGCTCGATATTCAGTAAATTAGCGTCAGCTTTCAGCTTTGCCCAGGTCAAGTCGCGAGGTTGCAGAAGTGATGGCACTGGGCAGCCAGACACGTCGTTGCAAGCGAATGTGAACGCGTAGAGCAGGACGGGCAGGCCAAAGGTTATGGCTGCGGCACCCAGACTATGAAAGCGTAAGCAGAAGTTAGGCCCAACAAAGCAGGAGCAAGTTTCTTACGGTCCGCCGAACTCGTATTCGACCATTCTTTTTTCGTTGTGATATTCCGCCGTGGGAGGAGGTTACGGTGACGGGGACAGTGGATTGATTCAAAGTTTCTAAAGATCTGGGATCGTGTGGTGGGGAGAGATGCGCGATTTAACTAAGGGGCTGCTGGTCGAAATGGAAGGCCGGGCCGGGCCGCTGTAACGGATACGGATAACGTTACTATATGTACTCATAAGTAAGTACGGTTAAGTGCTCAATTTTCAGAATAGCTGCCGTTCAACACCAAGGCCTTTTCCTAAGAGAAACTTGATGGATCGTAGAATCATCGACACGCGGTCGCGAAAATTGATATTATCACTAGTTTTTACTAGTATATATTCCAGCATGAGGCACGGCACCCAGTCAGCCTGGGGCAAACTTCACAGCATGCCGAGGTGATGACTAATACCCAAGAAGACCGCCTACATAATCGAAAATAAAGTTACGCACGCCTCCTGCGATATAATAATCTTTCCATGATCATCCGATAGTTTGCTATAATCATGCCTATAATCTCGCGCATGTTAAACGGGATTCGGAGTAGTTTCGCTAGGGTTGTCGAGAGAGACCACCCTACTACCCATCTCAAGCCGACGACGTTATTCCTATCAACACCCTCAGCTTCGGATGGCTAATATTGTCGGAGATCCGCAGGATTTCTTTCGATATACGAGTGGACGATGGGTCTGGGATGAAAGGCAGCAGCTCCAAGAGAGGTATCGCGAATTCGACATACTTGAAATGCAGAAGGTTGCTATGGATTCATCATCTTCTGGATCCTGTGTGCGTATGGCCAAGATAGGAGAAGGGTCATACAACAAGTCGTTCAAGCTTACCATGGGCAATGGGAAGACATTTGTTGCCCGAATTCCAAATCCGAATGCTAGGCCGGCTTTTTTGACCACAGCGTCCGAGGTTGCCACAATGGACTTTGTGAGTAAATCTTACCATCGATCGTGTTTAATGATCCATATCTATCTACACTTGCATCTTCGTAATCTGACATAACGTTTCAGTTAAGAACCATACTCGGTCTTCCAGTCCCCAAAGTTCTTGCGTGGAGTTCTGCAGTTGACTCTACGAACCGTGTAGGGGCTGAGTACATCATCATGGAGTATGCCCCTGGTAAGAATCTCGCAGATGTTTGGACAGACATGGACCTTGAATGTAAAGTGCGGACGATGGAGGATATAGTGACCATTCAACACAAATTCTGACGTTGAAATTCTCCGAGTATGTTTATCCTTATGGTTCAAGGCGCAAAGATTTCTTGTACCTTCTAACTTGAGAGCAGATATAGTTGCCTTTTCTACAGGAAAGACGCACCGCCTGGATCTCACCCCGCAATAGTCGAAGGAGGCAACTTGTCGCATGAACTTAAGCAGAAAATTGCTGAGAGGTTTTCTATCGGGCGGATAGTAGACACGGCATTCTGGGGTAAAGGGCGAGGCGATATGGATATCTATCGTGGACCATGTACGCCTGTTCCAGCAATTCCCCGTCGCCGATCAAGCTGATAGCTGTATACAGGGGCTTCTGCAGTTGACTACATACAGGCTTCTGCCCTTCGAGAGATAGCTTGGATTCAGAAACATGCGACCCCGCGTTCTCCGGATGATCCGTTATTCATTTCCCACCGCCAGAATGATCCTGTCGAGCACGTTTCTCTTCTTCAGAGATATCTATCTATTGCTCCTCATCTTATTCCACAGGAAGAGGGTATTCTAGGGTCATTCTTATGGCACCCGGACCTTCGCACTCCTAATATTTTTGTCGACGATAGCGGTCATATTACTAGCATCATTGACTGGCAAAGCGCATCGGCTGGTCCTTTGTTCCTAGAAGACCGTCATCCTTATTTTCTCGATTATAACGGCGACTTGATACTCGAACTCCCTGAAGACTTCAAGCAACTGGACGCAAATACGCAAAGTGCTGTTAAGGGCACGGTCACCAATTCGATCCTATTATATCTCTACGAGAAATATACGGCCGAAAGAAACCCACTTCTGAGCAGAGTGTTCCAGTATCCAAATGGCAAGACACTAACCGACCCAATCCGCTTTGTCGGGAATACATGGGATGGAGATATCATCCCACTACGAGAGTCGTTGATTAGGATACAGAAGTAAGTTGTCAGCGGATCCTGCGTAGTTGACCAATT